AATGTATGTGTGTGTGTGTGGGGGGGGGGGCTAATAGTTTGTGAGAGCATTTCAATTGTGTATGTGAGCAAAAAAAAAAATGTAGCATTGGAAATGAGTATTTAAAATTTTTTTTTGGTGTGTTTCTGTAGTGTGTGAGCACATTTTAGCAGACTGTATGAGTAATTTGATGCATTTGATCCTTGGCAGCTGATATCCAGCGTGATGATCCGCCGTACTTCGTCCTCCTCTGGCGTGTTTGTGAGCCTCCGCATTACCCCTCATGTGCGTGTGTGTACGTGTGTGCTTGAGGGGCCATCAGAAGCGTAATTGCGGATTACCTATCATATCCAACACTGAAATAAATATTTTAGTACCTTCTGAGCATACCTCAGTATGGTGTGCAGTTTCTTCAGTAGTTCCTGGTCCACTTTGAGAACTTGAACGCCTCTAATTGGTGCGTCCACTGGCAAAAAAAAAAAAATTGATCATAAAATTGAACATACTGGAACTGCATCGATTTTATTTCTGAAAAAAAACTGTGCCTCATTTATGTGACAAGCAGAATTTGGATTACGCTCCTGGAACCTGGAGGAGACCTTTCCTCAAAAAAAACTTACTTCCCCAAATAAAAATAAAATCAATTTCCCTGGTCCACTTTGAGAACTTGAACACCTCCCGTCTAATTGGTGCGTCCACTGGCAAAAAAATAAATAAAAAAATTGATCATAAAATTGAACATAGTGGAACTGCATCGATTTTATTTCTGAAAAAAACTGTGCCTCATTTATGTGACAAGCAGAATTTGGATTACGCTCCTGGAACCTGGAGGAGAACCGACGTGCACTTGGAAAATCCCGAGTACCACACCAGATGGTTCTTTAAATACTTCCTCGGGAAAGGTCAGTTCAACAAAATGTCACACGAGCCAACAGCAGCATCACAAACACTCGGGTAAGACTCCAAACAGTTGCATTCAACTGTCAGTTCAAACGCGAGGCTCATAACATATCACAAAAAACATTTATTATAAAAGTCACAACTTGGGATTTGCTCGTCTTAGGTTAACCCAAACCCATTAAAAGAGCCGTGGAAAACACAGATTTAGACAACTGTGCACATTAAAAAAGTCTTCACTTGTTACGATGGGAGCATAAACAAATCTGCCGTTTCAATTTTTATTAAGTGTCACAAGTTCCACGATGGTTTTCTTTCAGTGCACCAAAACTATGTGGGCACGGATGCGGAGAAGAACCCTTTCTACAAAGTCACTTCGCATTGTGTTAGAAAGTTCAAGTTGTTCTGGAAAATATGGAACCCGGAAAAATAATTCCCGAGGCTGCATCATATCGGACTGCTTCCCCGCCATCTGTTGCACGGGTCCGACATGTCGCCTTCGCTCGCCATGTCTCCCTTGTCTCATCTTCACAATGACCTCCATCAGTGAGGGGGCGGGGGCGAGTGTGTGAGACAACGTGGCTCTTGAGTCATCGTCATCGATGTACGCATGTACACACACATGGATATCGGCACGGTGGCACGAGATGACTCAGCATTTTGGCCAAGGTGGCAACATTTCGAAAGTCATTTGTCACGTTTTGTTTGCGATGAATTAAATGTAACTAAGATGAAAGTCTTCTTCATGTTTTTTTTTTGTTGTTGTTGTCTGCGCAGGGGACCCTGAAGATCAGCCTCCCTTACAGCCCCACTAAAACACTATCAGTCAAATCCATCCTCAGGTGAGGAGATGCTCATTCACTCTCACTCAAAGTAAGGTCATAAAAAAAATAAAAAAAAAAGAAATGAAGAAATAAGCAAACCGATATTGGAATGCGCGCAAACAACAAACATGTTTCTACCTGCTTTCGAAAGAAAAAAAATGTCCACTCGACTAGATATGTTTCGAATGTTAAAGGCTGTGTGACTTAGCATTTTCATCCGCCGCATACCTTGAGGCTATTTGCCCCGGCTCGGTCCCCACCGAGCTTCTCTCATCTCTTCATGTCATTATCTCCACATGTGCGCCGTGCCAGCGCGATGAACATGGACAGGTTTGAGAGAGGCCCGCGGGAGATCCTCAACCCTGACATTCAGAAGGTGAGCGAGTAGCTAAAGCACCTCTGTAACGTAATGTCAAGTCATGTCACGTCATGTAACGTCACAAAACATGACATAAAATCTACCAAAATCCAATGTAAAAGTAATATAATGTACTGTACCATCAGAAAAGGGTAACGCAATGTCACCTAATGTATCATAAAGCAATGTCAAAGCAGGGTCAGGTAATCAAATCTAACTGTTACATAAAGTAAAGTAACGCAATGCCACTTAGCATACCCTCAGTCTATGCTAACTTTTGTCTTCTCTTGCCTTCAGGATTTGCTTGTATTGGAGGAACAGGAGGTACAAGATGGTGCTTAACGTGATTTGTATATATATGTATTTTTTAAATTTTCACAGCCATCATGAGCATAATCTTTCCACAGGGGTCCGTCAACTTTAAATTTGGCGTCCTGTTTGCCAAAGATGGACAGCTCACAGACGACGAGATGTTCAGTAATGGTAAAATATAAACTACCCCCCCCCCCCCACAGCCCCACAGCATTATCTGGACGCCATTTATCTGGTTTTGTTTTGCCCGTCTGTTGCAGAAATGGGGAGCGAGAGCTTCGACAAGTTTCTCAAGCTGCTGGGAGACAGCATAACCTTGCAGGGATGGGCGGGTTATCGTGGAGGCCTTGACACCAAGAGTAAGAAGTCCCAAAACAAAACATTTTTGCCACCATCTAAAACGGTTTATAATCTAAGCTAAATTTATAAGGCCAGTTGTGTGCGCCTGGTACGACATTTGCATTTTGAAGAACAACCTTACAGCATCGCAGCATTATTTACAATACAATACAATACAACGAAAGTCGGCTAGCTTAATTTATGTATCTTGAATAAAGCTTAGCAAGAGACATGCTCCTGGTCATCACGTTTGTATCATCTATTGGTTTTTGTTTAGCTGTGCTGTGATTGGCCAGTCTGCATTTTGTCAACTGAACTTGGCGACAGGTCACCATATTAACCGCTAGGTAACACTTAGCCTCCTGCCGAGCTGGCCTTAACTCACAAACTTTGTCCTGGTTTGCTACTTCTTCCAGACGACACTACAGGGATCAAGTCCATCTACACGGTGTATCAGGGCCATGAGCTCATGTTCCACGTGTCCACCATGTTGCCCTACTCCAAAGAGAACAAACAACAGGTGTGCGTCTGCTCCCGGTACTACTTTTGTGACGATGGCAAGCCCTTAGAGCATTTATGACTTGACCATCCCAAAGCAAACATTTTCTTTGGAGTATGATATGCTACGTTCCCACTTGTCTAAACACGCTATTCAGATGAATATTGCGTTTGTGAAATAAGGATTCAGAAGATGATCCCATCTATTTTCATTCATTTCATGGTGTCGGAGTAGGGAGGGATCGAAAACAGGCAGGTTTTGACTCGCAAAGAACTGGAGTTCCCCACCCCACAGGAACCTTTAGCTGGATGTCGGGTATATTGAATAAATGTCGTTAGATGTTGGGCGTTAAATTTCTTCCCGCCGCTTTTGTCGCCCCTCTGCAGGTGGAGCGCAAGCGTCACATCGGAAACGACATCGTCACCATCGTATTCCAGGAGGGCGATGATGCATCGTCATCCTTCAAGCCTTCCATGATCCGCTCGCACTTCACCCGTATCCTTACAAGAGAAACGACAAGCACGACTGCTGCGTCATCTTTAGTCTGGCGTGCGCTTCCTTAGCTCAGATGTGCAGATATTTTTGCATTAGTTCGATATAATTGCCAGACTGACAGTTACAGGTGAGCGCATCTATAAATGGAGGGATGAGTTACTGATGATTTATTTATGGGCTATTCATGTTGTATTCATGTTGGGCTATTCATGTATTCATCTTGTCGCAGGTTGAAGTTTTTTTCCGAGGAGAGTGTGCCACTGTTTGGACCGCCTCTCCCGTCGCCGCCAGTCTTTACCGATCACCACGAATTCAGGGACTTTTTATTAGTCAAATGTAAGATTGATTGATTTACTGTCATTGGACTTTTTGGGGGAAACTGAGACAGTTTAGTCATCAGTGATTGTCGACGGTGATACTGTTTGTAGTACGCTATGAACCTCAAAGGCAAGATTTCTTACAAGTACAGGTGAACCCTATGTTGCGTAGGGGGAGCAAAGATCTTTATATAATTGGCATCATTGAATTAATCATTCTTTTTATTTTTTTTTTTTGAAACTCCAAAATTTCCTAAGAAATTATGAAAAAAACAACAGTGATAAACAGTCACATGAAAAACAGAACTACTTCGAAAAAAATGTGATAATATTGAAAACTTTTTTTTAAATCCGTGGGTGCCAAACCACATAGAGCTTGACTGTACATTCAAAATGAACCTACCACTGTCGCTTTCTGTCGGCATAAAAAGTAGGATCGAAGAGGATTTGACATGCAAAAATCTTCATCAAACAGGAGGCTGATCTGAATACGTCCTCTTTTAATTCTTTTAGTCCATTATTGTCAAACTAAATAGTGTGCCACCATCTAATTGCTAACGGTGGAATTACACCCCAAATTAACGGCACACGAAACAAAATAGAGTGAAAAAAATGGCACCCAAAAAAAGCCACGCTATAGCAGGACTGCATAATCATGACTCGCAACCGAGGGAGCTTTACTGTATGTCGGAAATGTTCATAAGGTGTATTACAAGATTTAGGGAGCTCAACGAATGTACTTTCTTCACGCAGTAATCAATGGAGAGAAAGCCACACTGGAGACGCCAACATTTGCCCAGAAGCGTCAGCGGACCTTGGACATGTTGATCCGCTCGCTCTACCAGGACCTCATGCCTGACCTGCACAAGGTACCAGCCAGTCTTGGATAAAACCCCAAATTTTTGGCTGACCCTCCACCCCCCCGCCTCCTCCTCCATGTGACCACTGCGACTTTAAAAGCTGCTGACTGTGTTCTCCACTGCGGCCCACTGCGTACTCCACGACAGCATACACACACACACACACACACTGATTCCACTGCAGTGCTGCCTTTTTTCTTGCTCCCTGTCATTCATGTTTCCTCCCATCTGACTCTCACTGTCACTCTCAAGCAGAGGTGGCAAAAGTACTCACACCCTGTGCTCAAGTAGGAGAACAGATACTTTATACATAAAAAATATACAATGATATGATGTAAATATAACTAGATGCTTTCTTTTTCCCCGTCTCTTTCACCTCCATCGTGCCTGTGTGTTTGCGCCACATATTAGGTCCCTTTTTCTCCGCAGAACATGTTGAACCGCCGCTCCTTCAGTGACGTGCTGCCCGAGTCGCCAAAGTCAGCGCGGAAGAAGGAGGAGGCACGCCAGGCCGAATTCGTCAGGATAGGCCAGGTAAAATGAATACACCGCAGATGCTAGGGTAGCGGAATGTGGGAATGGGTGCACGTGCGGTAGATGAAAAGTAGATCTAGTAGTAGGTCATAAAAGGTCGGACACCCGTGATTTAGGGCATTTGTATAAAGCTACATCTAGGCAGGTTACAGTTCAGGGGCATCGGGAAGGCTCTTGTTAGGGGTTGAGGTTAGGATTTAGGAGGCTAGGGTAAGGGCAGGGGCTTGGCTGGTCACAGGGAGTTTTGGGTAGCGTGAGGGGGGGTTCATCGTGTACAAATGCTTTGCACCATTTAGGCTCTAAAGCTGAAGACCATTGTGAGAGGCGACGCCCCCACCAGCCTGGTCACCACCGGCTTGTGCAGAAAAGAGGTGACAGCTTTCAGCTCATCAATGCAAATAGCAACACTGCCTTTTGCTTGACATGTGTGTGTGCGTGTGTGTGTGTGCGTGCGTGTGTGTGTGTGCGTGCACGGCAGCCGTGGGAGTCGCAGTCGTTCTGCAGCACATTCCCTCACGAGGTGGTGTGCGCCGACTCATGGGGCCAGTCGCTGCTGGTAGCCACCGACGCAGCGGGGGTCCTGCTGCTGGATGGTGAGCCGAGATTAATTGCAACTGACGTCCTGCCGGGGGGGGGTGTTGTCACCCCACATGTCCTCTCCATCAAAGCCAGACGTGCTCAATCAATCCGTCAATCGTTTGTCCTTCCCGTTTTCAACTGGCAATTAAAAACAAACAAACAAACAAACAAACAAAGCGGCTAATTAATATTAACTGTCCTTGTTTTTTTTCAGTTTTGGCATGTTTTATTTTCAGTATATGGTCTGCAGCGTTCCCCGACCATTTGCAAATATGCTCTGTGAGTAATTGACACCCTCCCTAAAAGGTTTACCATGGCCTATTTATAACACCGGATTGCCACAAAGAACTACTTTTGTCTTTATGAAGCTCTTCGACACACTTTCTTTGGTACCAGCATGCCAGAAGATGGCAGAAAAGTACGATTTCTGCCGAAAGGAAGCTCCTCAACTGGCTTTAACATAGTTCCTTGGAACAAAATTGACAAAAGATGGTGGTAAAGCACCGCTTTTATCGAAATGAAGCCCCTCAATTGGCTTTAACACATTTCCTTGGCACCAAGACGCCACAAAATGGTGGCCAATCACTGCTTTTGTCAAAGTAAAGCTCTTCAAATCATTTCAACCCAGTTCCATGGCACCAATATGCCACAAAATGGTGGCAAAGCGCTACTCTTGTCTGAATAAAACTCTACAACTCACTACAACATTATTTCATGGCACTAAGATACCACATGATGGCAGCAAAGCATTCCTTTTAAATCCAATTCAGTCCTGTGGTCTGGTTTTTTTTCATATTGTCGATATGAGGCTAGAATTGAATTGTGGTAAAACAGTCTTTAGATTAAAAAAAAAAACAGGTTTCAAAATTAATCATACACGTTTGAATTTCGTGATTTTTCAATAGCTAACCGAAAATGGAAAGAAGAAATGCTACAGGTTCTCGATGCCATTCAAATGTTAATGCTGTGGGCTACTTTGACTATCTGGTTTTGTTTTTCTCCAGGCTCTGATCCACCTTCCTCCATCACCGGTGAGGCTCAGGCTCTCCCGGCGCCGGTGCAGGTGTTTGACAAGACGCTGCTAGTGAAGCAGATGCACATACTTGAGCCTCAGGACTTGCTCATCACTCGAGCAGACAAAGGTGAAGGCAGTTTTTTTCTTCTCTATATAGTTCTTCTTTTCATATCATCCTATTTTTTAATCGTACAAATACTTGGTGTGTATACTCGGCTAGCCAGGCACTAAGCTGGCCGAGGTACCTCCACTGTGTAGCATTTGTTATTTTGCCAGGTCTGCTCTCAAATTTCACTCATTGAATCAACGAGTACGCTGCCTCCTTTTCTCATTTTCTCCATTGAGCATATCGATCTGGTGTCAGTACTGTGCTGTCGTTTGTGTCTGTTTATCCTAAGGAGCTAAAGGGAACGTGTCCGAAGTACGCGCATATACGCACGCAGCCAGGCACCAAATGCCGCAAGCGGGAAAACAAAATGGCTGCAAATGAAAAGCATGTCATCAATTTTCTCGTTCACCCTCATACTGACAAATGTGATTAACTCGCCTTTGATGGCATGACACCACCACAGCCGCACATTTACCCCGAAACTTTCCGGCTTCTTGCTCGGCTTATCCCAGGAAATCCGCATCTTGAAGGATGACGAGGCCGTATGTTGTGATATCAATATTTTGTCGCAGCCTGAACAGTGGCAGTAGCAACGTTGTGAGAAAATATCCATATTGCCATACCTCACATTTGTATCCAGATACTGTACATCATTATCAAATATTGATCCTTGTGTTAGTATCGGGTGGTATCATATTGTTTTGTCGAAAGATACGATATCAATACTGTGGCTTGTAGTGGCAAAACTGCGGTAAATGGTATTGTGATCTCTCATTTTTTTAATCAAGATAGAATGCCAGCATAGTTTCAGATGATGTATTGTAGTACTGTTGCCGTTAGGGATAGGACAAAATTTTGACATTGATATTATAAAGTACAGATGTAATATCAATACATTTACATCAGACATCAATACTCCAGCAGTAGGAAAACATTGATATCAATACATCAGTATTGAAATGGTTTCTGTCAGGGGTGTGGTTAAAATGTTGATATTGAAATTATCGTCTATCTAGCTACGGTACCACTCCACCTACATCTGATATCAATGCTGTATCTTGTAGTTCCTGGACAGATATCAATATTGCAATTTATCATTTTTGGCCTCTATCGACGATACTCTATCAAAACATCAATATCAGATACCACTGTTTTGTCACATCAGTATCCCATCAATATCAATACTGCAAGAGTATCGATACTGTCAGAGCAGAGATGGGATTAAATATCGCTCTTGGTTATCGATACACAGTATGGATTTGTTGTCTTCAAAGACCGATTATCGGGATTTTTCGTGACATTTTGTGGCTTGTTATGCTCACGTAGTGCAAAAAATGAAGGCTCATGCTATAGCAAGCCACCCGACCTGTCTCTCCCAGGAAAGGACGCTCGGCTGTACGTGTTCCGACTGAGCACTCTCAAGAGAGGCCTGGAGGAGCAGCAGCAAGCCCGCGGCAAGTGCGACAGCCGGGAGAATAAACTGGAGAAAACTAAAGGTGGACCATAACCATCATCTTTGCACAGTGAGCTTTTCCTGACATTTTGTAGTCACCACGAGTTTGACACCCTCCGCCCTGTCCTCCCACCAGGTTGCCATTTGTATTCCATCAACACACACCACGGCTCGGAGCTGAGGATCGTGGCGGCCATTCGGAACAAGCTGCTGCTCATCACCCGGAAACGCTTCGAAGGCTTCAGCGCTGTCGGGGGGACCGACTCGCCGGTGGAGGAGTTTCAGTACATACGGGTGCGTCACGCTCATGGGGTCAAACCACAGGATATCAAAGTAAATCATTGGAAATAAAACTCATTTGCTGCAACACTCAAAGCCACATAGGATTAGCATTGTACAATGAGGTCTAAATCTATTTGGGATTATAAAATCATTCTGCCAATAGAATTTTACATTGCTGCATAAGAAGAAAGATAGCACATAATTGTGCGTACTTTGTTTTACTGCTGGGCAATGACTAGGTAGCATTAGCACAGCGTAAGCTAGCGCTGACGTTAGCTAGCAAGCTAGGTGTTATGTTCTGCTAACTTAAACACAACCCAACCAAACATTCATTGAATACCTGTGATAAATACCTTCTGGAAACCCAATGACGGAGATTTGGTTTCCTATGTGTTCTTTGAGAAGTGGTTTCTAAGTCACCAGGCAGTTTTGCTATTTCGCCTCCTGACTTACTGGTTATGCTGGATCATTTGAATTTTTTGAGGTGCACCCCCAAACACATCCTGTTTTTGCCATGGTTTCAGTTCAGGTCAGTGGTAGTCAGTGACAAACTATATGAAAATGTCCACTAGGGTAATGTGGGACGATGGCTGATCATGTAACGTGGGCGCGTTCCTTCCACCAGGAAATCTGTCTGTGCGACCCTCCCGCCGTGATGGCACTGGTGGATGGGCCGACGGGCGAGAACGACAACATGATCTGCGTGGGCTATAAACATCAGTTTGACCTGATCAACGAGAGCACAGGCGACGCCTACCGGCTGCACCACGTCGATGCCAACAGGGTGAGACGCACCTACCAAACCTTCATATCACGGCACAACACCAAATAAAAACATCATAAAAATTTTACATAGTTATCCCCCATTTATTGCAGGAATACCTTTCAGACTCACCTCAAATACGAAAAACAAAAACATTCAACCAAACAATGAATCCAGCCAAAGTGTGCTAGCCTAATACTAACATATACTGTCATGTGATATACCATAGATTAAATTAGCATGGATGTTACATTCTCTTTACCTTTTTTCCTTGCCATTCTTCTTTTTCTTTTTCTTTCAATGAGGAACTGCAATACAACAGGGCTTCCCTTTTTCCCTCTCTGTCCACAGGTCAATTTTGTGGCGGCTATGGACGTGTATGAGGATGGCGAGGCTGGTCTACTCTTGTGTTACAATTGTGGGTACACAAACATATCTTTCTTTACACATTTATAATCTTAACACCAACACACCTACTACTACTACTACTACTACTACTACTACTACTACTACTACTACTACTACTACTACTACCACAACTGTGACTGTATGGAAAACAGTGTGAGCATTTATTCCACATCCTTGAAATCAAGCTGTACTGCACCAATTTCTATCCTCCACAGAAAGACAATTCAGCATACTAGTGGAATGTCTCTCTCTCAAAAAGAGCGCTAAAGCTTGAGGGCAGCATCTGCTGATTTTTGCCTGCAGGAATTTGTGTGATTTAATTGATCCATTAACCACAGCAAACATCTATGTCCTGAAGTAACAAAGCAGCCCCAGACCATTGTACTCACTCCTACTAGCATGTTTGACTGTAAGCCTGATGTTCACAGAATATTTTTTTTGTCAATGTTTTTTTTTAACAATAATAGCATCATTTTTGGACTATTAGTCGCCAACAGCCAACAATTTTCTTTTCTAATTCCTTCATTTGGCAGATATTTGCTCGTACAAGAAAGTGTGTCCGTTCAACGGCTCCACGCCCATGATCCAGTCCAACACGTCCGACTTCCACTTCAGCTGGAACCAGATGCCCAATGCTATTGGTTCGTTGCCATGGCAATGCGACAAGCTCTGCGGTCACCATGGAGCGCCATACCATATGCCACACTCGTCCACTCATTAGTGACATCTTCGCGTGCGTGTGCGTGTGCGTGTGTGTGTGTGTGTAGGTCTCCACTTTTCACACAAACACACCACACAAATATATACATTCAAGCAACTGCTTTGTTTTCCGTATTATATTCTAGCAACTAATGTTGCATGTAATTAATATTTTGTGCTCCAGTCGGGGGCAGCATATCACCACACACTTGGTGCAGCTGCCCTCGTAAGAATTACTTTCAACATATGGTACCAGGACTGTCGCTGTCTGTCATATTGTGTTAATGCACCATCATGACACCAACATTTTTAGTAGGCATAAAAAGCAGGATTGAAGTGGATTTGACATTCAGTTTTCTGTGTGCCGCCAGCTTAGGGTGGACAGTGGAAATACATCTAAAATAAATGGGAGGCAGAACAAAATAAAGTGATCAACTGTAAAGGGGCCGTTTACGTTATATGGTATGGTATCATCCTTACGCTGGTGTTTTTCTCCTCAGTGTGCGCCTTCCCGTACATCCTGGCTTTCACCACAGACTCCATTGAGATCCGCCTTGTGGTCAATGGCAACCTGGTGTACACTGCGGTGGTCCCGGAACTGCAGCTTGCCGCTTCACGGGTCAGTACTAAATGTTTTGCTAGAACATGACTATGACGGTCTGAAGTATTTGCTTCCCTCCATCCTGTTGTCCGTACAGCAAAATTCATTGTTCCATTAACAACAGGAAGTTGTCCAAGTGCTGAATTAGCAAGCAGCCTCAGACCTACATTGTGCTATACAGTAACTATGTATAACTGTATGTGCGATGTTTTTATCATTATATTTGGGAGTTATTTGGGTTGGCTGACTACTCCTGCGAAGGTTCACCAATGTTCCCAGTTTTCTCCATTTGTGGATCATGATGCCAACAGTGGTTCATCAGAGTCCCAAAACCTTTAAAATGTCTTTGTAAGAGCAATCAAAAATGAGGATGCCGACAAATACATTTTCTTTCTCCTCATTGGAGGAAGACTCCTTTCAGCATTAGCACAAAATGCTGTCTCAGCTTACTCATTTCACTCCGTTTTATGAGTCCACGGGGAAACAACATGGCGGTCGATCTGGATGGTTATCGAGCTAATAACAACACCCTCGTATTTCATACACACAAGTGCTGCAAAGTGAAGTCTTGTCTCCGATCCAAACCTTCGCAGTCGGACATCTACTTTGTGTCGTCCGCTCCGGTGAGCTCGGCCTCCAACTGCAGTTCCAGGGACACCAGCTCGCAGAGTTCCCCGCAGACGCCCACCAGCTACGAGATGCCTGTTTTCCCCTCACCCCTCGGGGATGGTAAGCAAAAGGCACTTTTCCATCCCAAATAAGGAAAGCAGAGAACCGATATTTACATATTAAATAATTTTGAATACGGATGAGGAAACGACTCGTTCAATATTATGGACAAAAAAAAGTCGTTTGAAAAAGGTCTAAGTGTAATTCTCTTAATGCATTGACAGACAATTTCACTTTCATTCTAGTTTGAATCCTTTCCAAAAGAAGTGTATTGTTCTTCTATTTATAAATGATGCTGTGTCATGTCAGTCGGGTGAAGCAGCATGTGGTTCACTACACACGGGTCAATTTTGACACTCTGTTCCACGTGACAATCACCAGGCAACTCTGTGTTTAATTTAGTAAAGCGTAACGATAAACAACTGTTTTTTTCTGTTCACAAGCAATGTATGATGTAAGCGTAACAGCTTGTACCATGTTTGTTAGAAATTACTGCACTCACTGCCATGCATATACTTTGCGCAATTTCTTCTCTTTCTTGCCAAGGCAACTGTTTTTCCCATTTTTTTTTTTTGGTCGAAGGGGGATGGAAAATATGTTAACCACTTAATGTTGTGTTGTTTTTCCTGTGTGTGTGCGTGCCCCTCTTCTTGGTCCCTGGTTCAGATTCTATACGGATCCCCTATGGTACCAAGCTTTCGCTGTACACGTCTAAGGACGCTGAAGGTACCGTGAATGGCGTCACTGGAATGTTAAATGAACTTTTGTCTTTTCCACGCCGCTCATCAAATGGTTGGCAATCCTAAAACCAGGCGTGTCAAACTCATTTTTGTCACGGGCCACTTTGGGGTTACGTCTTCCCTCGGGGGGCCGTTACGACATTGAAACTAAAAAAATGTTTATATATTATTACTTGGACACAGCAAATTGATGGATTACCAGTTTTGAAAGCAGTCAAATCAACTGTAATAGTTTGTTAATTATTGTTTGAATGAGTGTGATTGATTATTGCAAAATCTCAATCTTATTCATTACACATGACAATTTGACATTTCGGCACAAATTTTAGCAAGGAAGTTGACACATGATTTGCTTTCGCGGGCCACATAAAATGACATGATGGGCCAGATCTGGCTCCCGGGCCTTGAGTATGACACCTGTACCTTAAACCATCAACTGAAACCCTAATGTAAGCATAAACCCCAATTTAAGGATTGAAACCCCAAATTTGTATTGTCGTGTTAAAACAACAACAACAAAAATATTTCCTGAAACGTTTCACTTAAGGATGAGGAGTGAAAAGGTTCTCCAAAGTGTGGAGTAATTGGTGCCTGAAAGCTGATGAGGCCGCCATAAAGGAGGGAGGAAGGGGGTGAAGGACGTGATCTGCAGATTGCCCTGTCTCCATGGAGACTTTTGTCCGCCTAGGTCCAAATAACAGCACCACAAAGAGGGAGGAGGAATTGGATGTTGAATTGGGAGGGGTTGTGGGGCTCCTTGGGGGAGGTGCCGGTGGAGTCAAGTGATGTCACTGCAGCAATTAGCGCTAAAACGCGCTTAAAAAAAAACTAAAATAAAACCCCACTTGATTTGACGACCTGACTCGCGTATATCGTGAAATGTTGCCAAATGACGCCGATCGCTCAACTGACCTGCATAACCTGCCATGGCGCATTTCATTGGATGGCGCTCAAGAGCGGCAACAGTGCCCTCTAGTGGCCAAGTTAACAACTGCCCAAGGAGTGTTTAGGCTCCACTCCAAAGAATTCAATTGTGGAAAGATACAGAACTCTGCAACTGGTACAAGAACGTCTGCAAACGTTCACTTTTTTATGACTAAAAGTCCGCTATCTATCCCTAACTTGAAAACCTTCTTTGAAATCCTACCGCTAATTTGAAACCATCCTCCCGATTTGAAGTCCCAATGTGACACCCTAACCATAACTTAACACCCTATTTTGAAATTATTCCTTTTGCCCGAATTCTTGTCAGTCGTTAGTGTTACAATTTTGCGATTTAATAAGCACAAACATTAGAACACCAGAGTCTCTTTGTGTGGCTACGTGCTAAAGCGGTCAAGCTCATCTGTGGCCTCTTTCCCAGGCGAGTCGGCGTGCAAGCACATCTTCAAGATCCCTTTGTGCAACCTGGTGGGCCGCAGCTACGCACTCGCTGTCGCTATCGCGCATGGAAATCAAAGAGATAGCCAGCCGCACGCGCAAAGAGCTGCTCGGTAAACTTCGTTTCCCTTTCTTTCATCAATATTGTTTATACCAAATGTGTTTGTGTGTATACTGTATATTAAAATATTTTTTCAATTAAATTAAATTAAAAAACTGTACTTAACTATAGCTAGTTGAATTTTTATTATTTATCTTTTTTTTTCTTCTTTTTTTAAACACATCGTTTTAACAGGCCTGACAGAAGAACCGAGCAGTAAATCGGACAGCGGTGCGTCCAAAGCGAGGAAAGCGAGCAAGAAGAACACGGCGGCAGAGGAGCCCAGAGCACGAGCGCTAACGTCCACCAACAGTGACAGGTCAGACAAAGATTCTGCACGTTGGAAAAAGACAAAGCCCTAATGTGAAACCCTAACCGTAGTTTAACACCCTATTTCAACACCAGAACCTCTCCAAACATTTTTTCTCCCATCAGGTTAGACTCGGAGGCTTGCGATGCCGACTTGGACGCGGCTTCCATTTTGGAGGCGGAGCCGGAGACTTTGGTGCTTCGGGCCGACAGTCCGCCGCCGCTCACCAGCGCCTTCGCCCTTGCCGCGTCCTTCGAGGAAGATGTCCTCGATCTCAAGTGAAGACAATCCCGTTGTGCACTTCTCTCAAACAACCACTCCTGTACCCTTTTTACGCTGCTTTTTTTTGGGTGAAATTACAGGATAAGTCTAAAATACACCAAACATATTAAAACACACTTTTTTAACCCTTTCAGGGACAGCAGCATCATGTTATCAGGTTACAGGTTATGGTTATTGGTGCACGAAAGGGTTAAAGTATATTATTTCAATACTTCATGAGGGAAAAAAATTGCATTAATAGTGACGTCATGATAAAAACAAGAAAATTGAAAGAGAAAATCTAATTTTTCATCATCAAAAAGTTGCAACTTTATTGAGAAAAAGTGCAAATGAAAGTCTTTTAGCTGAATGGTAACACGTATAACACCATCGAGGGCCTTATGTAAATTAGCATGGATGTTACAGTAATTCTAAATCTTCAAACTGCTACTGTAACACACACAAAGGAGCAACGCATACAACTAAAAAGTACTGAAACATTCTACAAACGAGTAAAAGTTGAAAAAAGTCCACCGGTAACGGTTATTGTGAATTAATCCTGAAATTTCACCCAAAAGCTTGATTTCCCAATTTTTTTTGTGAATAGCCCATCGACTTTTTTGGGGGTTTTGCTTGCTGTGCTTAAACATTTTGTTTTCCACTTTGTTTGTTTGTTTGTTTTCGCGTTCCTTCGCTCCCCCCTTTCAAATGGCTGCTGTGTCAAATGGATGTGTCAGTATGTACGTGGTTGGAATCAAAACACAGAGTGGCGACCGGTGCCAGATTCTACTCGCGGCCATTTTTGAGTTCCTACCGCAAACTTGAACTAACGGAGTCACATTAAATCCAAATTTATTCATTTAAGTGTCGTATCATAAGATGTGATTATTATTTTCCGGAAAAATGTCATACGAAATACGCTTGTAGAAATCTGTTTATACACAAAGTAGCGCAATGTCTGGGATGCATATTTATAGATGTATTATATCAAAACAAATCTATTTTATTCTCTTCTTGAAGTAATGACAACAACAAAAAAAAAGGGTACGAACTTGTGAGCGCTCTTCTCTGGCCGTTTCCCCTTTTATTGAGTGTACACAGGTTGAAAACAGGGCTGGAGGTCTTTCCCAAGTGCCATTTACCAGCAGCTAGCGCGGAACTGCGTCACTTCCTTCTGGGGTTGGCAGTAGCAGCCATGATTGTAGTCCTTTTCCAGGTAACCAGAGTCCAAATTAGTTATAAATACACACAAAAAGGTCTTTCCCGAACATCTCCAAACCAAATTTAAACAAAATAGCGTAAACGTTCAAGATCCACTTGTAAAACCAGATTTTTATAGTTTCATGCGAAGCCCCATGAACAGTCACGGTAATTATAAACTTTTACACACACGGAGTAGCAACACATATAAATAAAGCATACGACAAAAGGCAAATAAATATTGAAAAACCAAAGCATATAATTTCCTCTCACAAATCGGCTAGCTTAATGCTAGCATACATCTGTGAAACTCCATTGATGAGCTAAAAACAGCTAGCATAAATGCGTCTGTGATTACAAACCTTTCAAAGAACTGCAGTGAGACATACAAACAGCAGACAACAAAAAAATTGTTTCCTTAAACGGCAAACTCTAGTCAACTAGTTAACTATTAAGTCTGATAGCTGAAGGCTAACATACAATGTAAAACACCATAGATGAGCTAATGAAAATTAGCATAGATGTCACGGTCATTATAAACCTTCAAAAAAAAATTGCTACTTTAACACACACAGGAGACAAAAAAAATAGATTACCAAAATCTTCAACCAAACCAGATTTATTTTGATCCAACAAAATGTGGCTGGTTGAAAAAAAATAACATTATTCTTTTCAATGTAAATTTGCTGATGACCAGTGTAATGGGCATCAGTTATTTGCCTATATTGTAAAAACAAAATTCCAAAAGGTTTAAAAATCTCAGAGTGTGTGAATGATGAACCGCAATATAGCAAGGGGTTCGCCGTATTTATATACTGACATTTTTTTTCCCCAAATCCTTTCAGTCTCTAACCATCGTCTCCTGAGGTCCCGTGTTGTATTGCGAGCGTTTACATTTAGCCAAGTGTGTTTACTGTCCACTTTGCAGTTAAAAAAACAACAACAACAACAACAAATGTTAATTAAATTTATCATCTAAAGTTAAATCCATAATCAAAATAAGCTTTTTGACAGACCAGGCCCCGCAGCAGCCTTCTTATAACTTGCATGACCTCTTCACTTTCTCAAACCAGGAAATGTTAAAACACACACACACATGCACACAAATGGTATGAAATGTTTACAAAGGTCCTCCACTCTCATGTTTATTATGACAGCCGGGTTGCTGTTTATTGCCGTTCGTTTTCCTTTGTCTACCTCCCCTTGGCTCTTATTTTTGTTAGTGGTGTTGTCGTTGTTGTTTGGACTGTTGCTGAACCTCTCTGTGCTATCCAATGAAAAACAACTCTCACACACACACACACACACACACACACACACACACACACACACACGGGAAAAAAACAACACCAAGTGTCTTAAAAATATTGTACCGCCATCGTTTTTAATGCCAAGTACTACTTGTAAATGTAAATGTTTGTGTATCAAATGTGGCCTCAAATTATGAAACAGAGCTGAACACTCATTATGATGATGATGATGACTATTAAGATGATTATTGTTGTTGATCATTGGAGCAGTTATTTAAAACGAGTGCTGTAGAACACCTCTGTGAAAGTAGGTACTTCTGTTTATTGATATGTAATAAATATTTATGGAATTTGAGCCCAAGTTAGCACATTTTTTGTTTTGTGTGTGTGTGTGCGTGCGTGCGTGTTCACATGTTTCTCTGCATCCTCAGGTTATTTCCACTCCAAGTGAGGAGAATGAATTTGGCTTGGTTGTTCATACAGTGTCCAGCTCACTCTCCTGCTTGTTTTATAGACTCGCGTGGAACAATCCACTCACCGCTCCAACATAAACATGGCCTCCTGACGGGAACTGGCTTGGAAAATCCACGGCCAGCAGAACAGAAAACAACCAACCCAGAATGGAAACAATGCACAGGAGCAGTCAAACTCTGGAAAAAAAGGATGACAATTTGATGACAAATTTTCATGGTTGTAGGGGAAAAAAGCATGACTATGCATGGGGTTTTTTTTGGCTAAAAATGCTGTACATGGTCGGGGTTCTTTCGGCTAAAAACGCCTGACTATACATGGTCGTTTTTTTTCAGCTAAAAATGCCTTAGTATACATGCGAGATTTTTTTTCAGGAAAAAAACGCCTGACTATACATGGTCGTTTTTTTTCAGCCCAAAACGCCTTACTATACATGGTCGTTTTTTTCAGCCAAAAACGCCTTACTATACATGGTCGTTTTTTTCGGCTAAAAACGCCTTACTATATCTGGTCGTTTTTTTCTACTAAAAACGCCTTACTATACATGGTCCTTTTTTTCGGCTAAAAACGCCTTGCTATACATGGTCGTTTTTTTCGTCCCAAAACGTCTTACTATACATGGTCGTTTTTTTCGGCC